ATTACATTAAGCAGTAGTGGTTCTGGTGACTATAGTGTTCCTTTAAGAATTGTATTTATATCTTTGTGGGGAAAAACTGGCTCCCAAATTTTTTGGCTGACTCCTAGATTGAAAGCAAATTTGGCAAGCCCTGAACTAGATGCATGGTGTATTGACCTGGCTTGTATAACACAACATTCTTATAAAATTACCATACAGGAAAACACCATTATCAGTTCTCTTTAAAGTTACATATCTGAAAAGTGATGTGTGTCCATCAAGCTCAGCCTTCCTCGCATATGTTTTTGCTGTTGATCCAAAAGAAGGCAAAAAACCCAGTCTGAAGCATTTCCAATTTTGCAACAAACTAGGAAAGAATTCTTTCTTGACTCCAAAATAGCAGTCAGATGTCTCCTTATATCAAGCAGCTATTACCCCACTAATTAGAAATGATATCCCTGTATGTTATGTTTTTGCCGGTATTTATCCAAATGCTGTTTAAACATCTCTATGGACTCTGATAAAGCCACCTCTTCAGGCAGAGAATTCCATATCCTTATAGTGTGAACATGTACATATTTATTCAGAACACAATTGTAGACTCCCATAGGAGTAGCTATAGATATACTGCATTTTGAATAGGACTAACCATTGCAAAGGTAGACTTAATAGAAGATAAATGGTTCATACTTAGGGAAATTAAACCATTACATATATCAGTAGTATATAGTACACTTGTATTGTTTTTTTTATATTATATATATATATTGTGACAAACTTACTTCCCCGTGTGTGTTTGTCCAGGATCTATTGGCAACTGCACAGCCCTCTAGGGTAAGGAAACCATGCCAAGACAAAGTCCAGTTTCAAAGGCCTCTGGCCTGTTTATCTTCTGTTGGTAAGAAGTAACAGGATACAACAAGCAGCAAACCTTATTTCTCCTCAAAACACTTCCTTCACCCCACCTTGCTTTAACTGCAGTTATAAAGCTGCTCACAGCCCCTTCGGGTGAGTCTAATGACCTTGTTAGGCAGTGAGCCAGAACTCCTTAGAAAACCTGGGCTGGTCTAATGCACAGCCACTCTGACAGTGGGTGGAGAATCGGCCCACCCTGCTCTTACGAATACTCCACCCCAGGGACCCAAATAACAACAGAGAAAAAAAACTACAATTAACCTTTCCCTGGGACTGCATGTGCTTAACCACATGTCAGGATAGTGGCTGCGCAAAAGTCTGGGTGCCAGATATACACCATCCCCAACACTCTGTCACAATATATATATATATATATATATATATATATATATATATAATTTCATCTTTATTAGAGTTTATTAATATAAAATATTCATATCACATTTAAAACCACAAAAATAAATAGGAGGGGGGAGAAGGGGGGGGGGGGACTGAAAATCACACTCTCTGGGGAAAAGAAAGGAAGAATGTGGGCCCCTCAAATGCGCCTGGTAAACTCTCCCTATACAAGATAATAATTTTACAGAGATTCTAATTTTTTTATTCATTTGTCCCATAAGACAGATTGACGGGTTTTTATATTTGAGGAAGTTGGAACACCTTTTTCCATTTTTAGTTTGTAGCATAGTTGAGCCTTGATTAAATGCCAATCAGGATAAATAGGGTCTTTTCAATATCTTGCTATGACTATCCACCACATATGTCGAATATCTGCCTCTTGTTCATTGCATTTCCATCAGGTGGATGTTAAGTGTGGATATATATATTTTTTATTTTAAGGGGGTGTAATTCTATCTATTAAGAAGCATATAGTGAAGTTCATTTAAGCCGAAACAGAGTACACTTTTATTATTTTTACATTTTAATGTTTAATAGATCTTTTATTTTGCATACTTCTCACCATATTATTATTATTATTATTGTGATTTATATAGTGCTAACAGATTCCGTAGCACTTTACAATATTACGAGAGGGGGGATTTAACTATAAATAGGACAATTACAAAAAAACTTACAGGAACGATAGGTTGAAGAGGACCCTGCTCAAACAAGCTTACATTCTATTGGAGGTGGGGTGTAAAACACAATAGGACAGGAATTTGCAATGAAATAACGTGGGAGTGAGGCAGAGCTGGAGGAGAGAGTAAGAGACAGGTATGTGAAGTAGAGATTACTCTGGGAGGCCATAAGCTTTTGGGTTTTAAGGCACTTCTTAAAAGATGCAAGACTAGGGGAGAGTCTGAATTAATATTAACCAGGTAAATAATATTAACCAAGTATACTATTTTAATGTATACAGCACATTATACCTACCTGCCAAAAAGTACCAATATGACATCACTAGCAAAAGAAACTAATCCAGAATACAATAATGTTGAGAGCCTTAAAAACAGTATTCTGAGAGACAGCTCTAGACACCAGTGGAGGAACAAAGGAAGGGGTAAATGCCACCTTACATTTCTTGTAGCAATACTGTACTAGCGTAATGTAGGAATACCAATCAATAAATGATTAGAAAAAGTAGATCACCCTCAGTAAATATGTAAAATAGGGTGATATGGTAAATATGTCACATACAAACAGCCTCCAATTTCTGTAATGCAAAATAGGCATATACAGATAAATGTTCCTTATGTCCCAATGCTGCCCTTAGTAGAAAATATCCTGGGAGACATTTATATAAAAATAACATTTTATTCTAAACAATATACAAGGCAAAAAATATATACATAAACGAGTATGTGTGTGCATACTCCTATAGAAGCAAGTCGCTAGACACAAAATCTAAAAACATATGTCTCTAAAAATAAAACAGAGTAATGGAGACTACCTCTGGAAGAGAAAGTAAATCTGACATGAAAAAAGTGAGGCTGGAGACACTCAATAAATGGCCAGCTGATGTGTTGATTAGTCTGAAAAAATCTAAGGGATCCCTTAAGACAATGTACTTAGTACTTAATGTGGTTAGTCGCAGATGGTCTTCCTGAGGATTTCACTTTTTTCATGTCAGACTTACTATCTCTTCCAGAGGTACTGTCCAGGACTCTTTGTTTTATTTTTATTTTTAGAGACATATGTTTTTAGATTTTGTGTCTAGCGACATGCTTCTCTAGGAAGCATATTTATTTATTTGCCTTGTAATTTATTTAAAAAATGTATTTAAAATAAAGTGTTATTTTTATATAAATATTCCAGTCTCCCTTTGCGCTTCTTGGGTTCTCTTTCCTTTTATTTTAACACTGTACTAGCCAGAATGATTATTATGCGGTATGGTTGAAAGCTTTGAGTTGACCTTCTTGGTTTGAGCTCAGAAAGCATATTTTCTCCCATATCTTCTCTGGTGGGTGGTGTTTATATTAAGATTACATCATCCATGACTACTTTGGGCCATAAAATACAAAATGCAAACCAATATGTTTTCTGGGGTCAACACTTGTTTTCTGTAAGGTTGTTTTATCTGTTAACAACTGTCTCCTGTTCACAAACGTAGAAAACACAAAGTTGTCTTTACATTTTACTTGTTTTTGATATTTATCGATTTTTTGTTGATTTGCATTTTTTACATCACTTTTGCATTTTTCTTCTCAGACTTGGATCATTTAAGGTTGGTGCATGATCTTATGCATAACCACATCAACCTCCTTTATGGTCTGTGTTATTGTCTTGCTACTCAAGGAAATAAAATTATCGTGTCATTTGCTCCTGTTTTCCAAAATGTACCATATGTTCTACTCTTTGATTCCCAAATGAGAGTCAACATTGATTACAATATTCATTTGTCTCACCAGCCCAGCCCTAGGAAAACGTGCCATTACTGAGTGGGCATCAGGTTTTCTTCAAATCTTTCAAATCATAATATATAAAAGTAAAGGAGAAAAATAAATGGATATCTTAAAGCTGGTATTATCTGTCCTTCTTATCTTTGAAAGAGAAGCTGAGCGAATCAGTGTGTCCGTTACTCTGAGGTTTAGCGCTACGGAATTTGCAGGTGCTATATAAATAATAAAATAATAATTCACTAAATCAAATTGAGATGAATTACTGTGAAGCTGGAAATATGCTCAAAACCTATTTTTCATTTTCAGTGATTTTCTTTAGCTGTACTATTTCCAGTTTACCTCCTGCTGTTTACTACAAAATTAGCCAAGCTATGCTTACACCAGAGTTGGAGAATTCTCTCAAATGCTTTATCTTTGCCTAAATTATGCAGTTTGATTGTCAGTTCAGTGCAGTTCAGTGTGTGGCAAATAAACTCAACAGTGTTTTCATTCCCAAAACATATAAACATAAGCAATCTCTTTTAACCCTTTATCCATGGAGGTTATTATTAAAGTTCTGAACCAAAACAAAACCTAAAATATGTACTATTGCTTGACCATAATATATAGGGACACTATTGTCACCAGAATAACTACAGCTTAATGTAGTTATTCTGGTGAGTATAATCATTACCTGCAGATATTTTCATGCAAACACTGCCTTTTCAGAGAAAAGACAGTGTTTACATTGCCCCCAGGGGATACCTCCTATGGGAAAGCATTGGATTGGCTAAAAATTCTGTCAATTCTGATGATGTATATATAGCGGGGGTCTGCGCTATATATGGGTGTGCGCTGTATGGGGGTCTGCGCTGTATGGGGGTCTGCGCTATATATGGGTGTGCACTGTATGGGGGTCTGCGCTATATATGGGGGTCTGCGCTATATGGGGGGGCTGTATGGGGGTCTGTACTGCATGGGGGGCTTTGTAATATGGGGGTTTGCGCTGTATGGGGGTGTGCGCTGTATGGGGGTCTGCGCTATATATGGGGGTCTGCGCTATATATGGGTGTGCGCTGTATGGGGGCAGTGTATTATATTTGGGGGCTGTGCGTTAGATGGTGAGCTGTACAGTACGTGTGGCCTGTGTGTTAGATGTGTACAACCCTAGTTTCACAGAAAAATATTTATTTCCTAGATATCATATGCCAAAGCATGCTTTTTGCTATGAAACCGCAGCCATCTAGTCACTCGCCAGAGAAGGATGAGAAACTGCACCCCAGCGAGAGGGACAGCCCCACATCTGCAACCAAATCCGTCGGTCACCGAATTCAGTAATCTCCGTCTCTTTGTGCATTGTGTATGTACGGTACTCCCAATTCTTATATTTAATCCGGTGTGTCTCCCACAATCTTTGTGTCTGTCTGTTGTATGTATGTGGCACGCAAGTCTGCATGCACTGTGTCTGTTATGCCAGTTACTCTAACCAGTTTATTTCTTTTTGTGTGTGTCACAGCTCTGACGAGCATGTTCTCCTATGGGACACGAAGTACATGAAGAGGAATGAAGAAGCCCATGTTTGATGCTCGTCTCCAGGGTGGAGTATTGAATTTATAAGTAATGAAGTGGCATCTGACACATGACAAGCTGCTCCTGTTTGCACAGCAACTTCAACATTGTGTACTGTGATCACGGCATAGTTCAGAGGTAGGTAACCTTGGGCAGTCCAGATGCTGTGAATTACATCTCCCATAATGCTGGTAAACCATTATGGGAGGTGTAGTGCAAAACATCTTGAATAACGAATGCGGATGAATGCAAAGTATGGTGTGTGTGAATGGTCAGTAACAAGGGTTGAAGCCTTGACGTGGCGTTACTGCTCACATGTGTATTCATGTGCCAATTCAACCAATGTGAGTCACTGTAATACTTATAAGGTAACCAAAAGTACTGTGATTGTGGAGAATGAAACACCTGTATCACCTACACACTGTTTACACTGTGACTGTATCTCCTAAACACTGCTCACACTGTGACCGTATCTCCTAAACACTGCTGACACTGTGACCGTATCTCTTATACACTGCTGACACTGTGACCGTATCTCCTAAACACTGCTGACACTGTGACCGTATCTCTTATACACTGCTGACACTGTGACCATATCTCCTAAACACTGCTGACACTGCGACCGTATCTCCTATACACTGCTGACACTGTGACCGTATCTCCTAAACACTGCTGACACTGTGACCGTATCTCTTATACACTGCTGACACTGTGACCATATCTCCTAAACACTGCTGACACTGCGACCGTATCTCCTATACACTGCTGACACTGTGACCGTATCTCCTAAACACTGCCCACACTGTGACCCTATCGCCTATACACTGCGACCCAATCGCCTATACACTGCTTACACTGTGACCCAAACGCCTATACACTGCTTATGCTGTGACCCAATCGCCTAAACACTGGTTACACTGTGACCCAATCGCCTAAACACTGCTTACACTGTGAATGTTAGTTTTTTCAAGTTACTTTTAGTGTTTGCGGTTTCATTGATTTGTTAACCACTCTCCTCAATCTTCTGTTCTGTGTTTTCTTACATTTGTGGGAAGAACAAGGTGATCCTCTCAATTTTACACTCCTTTACTGATGGTTCCAGTGCCAGAGACAACCCCACCACCATTAACCTCGACCTGCTCAAACAGAAGAGATTACCTTCTTCTATAGAAAACGTCCATATGGCTGTTTCGGAACACATGCTACAGACATGATTTAACCTTCATTTTCCAGTGATTAAGAATTGTGGACCGTCCAGGGAAAGAGACCATTACAGGGAGTGCAGAATTATTAGGCAAGTTGTATTTTTGAGGATTAATTTTATTATTGAACAACAACCATGTTCTCAATGAACCCAAAAAACTCATTAATATCAAAGCTGAATATTTTTGGAAGTAGTTTTTAGTTTGTTTTAGTTATAGCTATGTTAGGGGGATATCTGTGTGTGCAGGTGACTATTACTGTGCATAATTATTAGGCAACTTAACAAAAACAAATATATACCCATTTCAATTATTTATTATTACCAGTGAAACCAATATAACATCTCAACATTCACAAATATACATTTCTGACATTCAAAAACAAAACAAAAACAAATTAGTGACCAATATAGCCACCTTTCTTTGTAAGGACACTCAAAAGCCTGCCATCCATGGATTCTGTCAGTGTTTTGATCTGTTCACCATCAACATTGCGTGCAGCAGCAACCACAGCCTCCCAGACACTGTTCAGAGAGGTGTACTGTTTTCCCTCCTTGTAAATCTCACATTTGATGATGGACCACAGGTTCTCAATGGGGTTCAGATCAGGTGAACAAGGAGGCCATGTCATTAGATTTTCTTCTTTATACCCTTTCTTGCCAGCCACGCTGTGGAGTACTTGGACGCGTGTGATGGAGCATTGTCCTGCATGAAAATCATGTTTTTCTTGAAGGATGCAGACTTCTTCCTGTACCACTGCTTGAAGAAGGTGCCTTCCAGGAACTGGCAGTAGGACTGGGTGTTGAGCTTGACTCCATCCTCAACCCGAAAAGGCCCCACAAGCTCATCTTTGATGATACCAGCCCAAACCAGTACTCCACCTCCACCTTGCTGGCGTCTGAGTCGGACTGGAGCTCTCTGCCCCTTACCAATCCAGCCACGGGCCCATCCATCTGGCCCATCAAGACTCACTCTCATTTCATCAGTCCATAAAACCTTAGAAAAAATCAGTCTTGAGATATTTCTTGGCCCAGTCTTGACGTTTCAGCTTGTGTGTCTTGTTCAGTGGTGGTCGTCTTTCAGCCTTTCTTACCTTGGCCATGTCTCTGAGTATTGCACACCTTGTGCTTTTGGGCACTCCAGTGATGTTGCAGTTTTGAAATATGGCCAAACTGGTGGCAAGTGGCATCGTGGCAGCTGCACGCTTGACTTTTCTCAGTTCATGGGCAGTTATTTTGCGCCTTGGTTTTTCCACACGCTTCTTGCGACCCTGTTGACTATTTTGAATGAAACGCTTGATTGTTCAATGATCACGCTTCAGAAGCTTTGCAATTTTAAGAGTGCTGCATCCCTCTGCAAGATATCTCACTATTTTTGACTTTTCTGAGCCTGTCAAGTCCTTCTTTGACCCATTTTGCCAAAGGAAAGGAAGTTGCCTAATAATTATGCACACCTGATATAGGGTGTTGATGTCATTAGACCACACCCCTTCTCATTACAGATGCACATCACCTAATATGCTTAATTGGTAGTAGGCTTTCGAGCCTATACAGCTTGGAGTAAGACAACATGCATAAAGAGGATGATGTGGTCAAAATACTCATTTGCCTAATAATTCTGCACTCCCTGTATATTATTAAGATACTACCTTCCCAATGCCATACAGCCTTTCTTTACATGTGATTGAACTTTCTCCTTCTTGGATACCACAGTGTGACTTTTCTTAACCAGTTTCCAAATTTGACTTTTATATTTTTTCCACTATACATATAAAGTCTAAAATGCATATTAACTTTGAAGAAATAAAGTATTTTGCTGACACCTTAAGATGCGATTTGTGTTACTTAGCTACAAATAATACCATCACTAGCTGCGTTCCATTGTAGTTGAAAAACACAGAACAGAAGATTGAGGAGAGTGGTTAACAAATCAATGAAACCGCAAACACTAAAAGTAACTTGAAAAAAACAACATTCACAGTGTAAGCAGTGTTTAGGCGATTGGGTCACAGTGTAACCAGTGTTTAGGTGATTGGGTCACAGCGTAAGCAGTGTATAGGCGATTGGGTCACAGTGTAAGCAGTGTATAGGCGATTGGGTCGCAGTGTATAGGCGATAGGGTCACAGTGTGAGCAGTGTTTAGGAGATACGGTCACAGTATAAGCAGTGTATAGGAGATACGGTCGCAGTGTCAGCAGTGTTTAGGAGATACGGTCACAGTGTCAGCAGTGTATAAGAGATACGGTCACAGTGTCAGCAGTGTTTAGGAGATATGATCACAGTGTGAGCAGTGTTTAGGAGATACGGTCACAGTGTAAGCAGTGTTTAGGAGATACAGTCACAGTGTAAACAGTGTGTAGGTGATACAGGTGTTTCATTCTCCACAATCACAGTACTTTTGGTTACCTTATAAGTATTACAGTGACTCACATTGGTGAGAGGGGGGTTACAGAGTAAGGGGGGTTGACAATAACAATATCTGATATTAGGTCACATGTGCAATTATTATGTAATTAATGGACAACATACTTTTTCAATTTTGTTAAATTAGAAATTTAAATATTGTTTGACTTTTTTATATTGCCACTTTTAAAAAAAATTAAAACTCTTAATTTTTAAATGTACAGTAATTTGTCTGTAATAACGTTAACATGTTAATTATTGTGGGACAGTGGAGAGCAAACCCAAACTGGGACTCTACTAAACAATCCAGGAATTGGCACATGAATATACATGTGAGCAGTAACGCCACGTCAAGGCTTCAACCCTTGTTACTGACCATTCACACACACCATACTTTGCATTCATCCGCATTCGGTATTCCAGATGTTTTGCACTACACCTCCCATAATGGTTTGCCAATAAACTGGTTAGAGTAACTGGCATAACAGACACAGTGCATGCAGACTTGCGTGCCACATGCATACAGCAGACAGACACAAAGATTGTGGGAGACACACCGGATTAAATATAAGAATTGGGAGTACCATACATACACAATGCACAAAGAGACAGAGATTACTGAATTCGGTGACCGACGGATTTGGTTGCAGATGTGGGGCTGTCCCTCTCGCTGGGGTGCAGTTTCTCATCCTTCTCTGGCGAGTGACTGGATGGCTGCGGTTTCATAGCAAAAAGCATGCCATGGCATATGATATCTAGGAAATAAATATTTTTCTGTGAAACTAGGGTTGTACAAATCTAACACACAGGCCACACGTACTGTACAGCTCCCCATCTAACGCACAGCCCCCAAATATAATACACTGCCCCCCCACATGTAACAAACAGCCCCTCCATCTAACACACTGCCCCCCACATTTAACACACAGGCCACCCCAATATATTTCACAGACCACCCAATATACTGCGCAGCCCCCCCATATACTACGCAGACCCCCATATACAGCGCAGACCCCCCCATACGGCGCAGACCCCCCTATACGGCGCAGACCCCCATATATAGCGCAGACCCCCATACAGCGCAGACCCCCCTATACGGCGCAGACCTACCCCCCATACAGCGCAGACCCCCATATATACAGCGAGACCCCCCTATAACAGCGAGACTCTATATATACAGCATTTCACCCCCCCATACAGCTAGACCCCATATATAGCGCACACCCCCATATATAGCGCGAGACCCCCTATATGGCTAGACCCCCATACAGCATTACCCCCATACAGACCCCCATCTATAGCGCAGAGGACCCCATACAGCGCACACCCATATATAGTGCTAGGACTCTATATATAGCTAGGACCCCATAGCGACACACCCCCATACAGCATTGGGCCACCCCCTATATATAGTGTAGACCCCCTATACAGCGAGGACCCCCATATATAGGTGTAGACCCCCCTATATGGCTTAGGACCCCCCATACAGCTGTGCTAGGACCCCCCCATACAGCGCATTTACCCATATATAGCGAGGACCCCCATATTGTTGTGCAGACCCCCATACAGCAGACCCCCTATATATGAGACCTCCCATATACAGCAGACCCCCATATACAGCGACACCCCCATACAGCAGAGAGACCCCCATACAATATAGACCCCCTATATAGCGCAGACCCCCATGTATAGCGCAGACCCCAATATAATAATGTACTAAAACCCCCCCCACTCCCCAATATAATGCACTGAAACCCCCCTAATATAGTACCCCCTCCCCTTGGATGGCTGAGAGTGTTGGGAGCAGGGAGAGACTGACCTGTTCCCAGAAATGGCTTTACTCAGACGATCAGAGTCCGCGCATGCACAGTAGAGGGGTAGGGAGATTTCACAGTGCTTAATGGCCATCAGATTTCCCTACCCCTATACTGCGCATGCGCGGGTGTGTGAAGCGCTCCATGTCGCCAAGTGCGCACGCGCGCTGTACCTCCGACGGGAGTACTGTGTCGCGCGTGCGCACTATGCCTTTAGGCTCTCCGCAAAGTGAAAAATCCCTACCTCGGTTGTGTGCGCCTGCGCGGCGGCGCACACCCTCGTCCCAACGTCACTTCCGGTGCGGCTTCGTCACCGGAAGTGACGCAGGTAGGGTTTTCTAACGGGGTAGGGAAATTTGATAGAACACCCGCACATCCCGGGACATCGGAGCATCAACCCAGTACCGTGGGACACCGGGGATCTGGTGAATAAATATAGGCTTTTTATCCCTTTATTCACCAGGGGGAGGGGAGGGTCACAAGGGAAGGAGAGGGCAGGGGGAGTGGGGGAGGCACAAGGGAAGAAGAGGGCAGGGGGAGTGATTGTGCCAGGAATACAGCTTTGTATTCCTGGCATTATAGTATCCCTTTAAGGGTCCATATTCATATTATAAATAGTTTTTAAAGGACAGAAATGGCTTTCTTTTAATATTATATATATATATATACATATATACACACATAACACAACATTAAGTGTGAATAAAATGTGGGAGAAAAAATTTACATTTTTGCTTATAATTATTTTTACACATCCAGTGTAACTAAATAAAAAATAGATTCACATATCAGTCCTGATTGTTAAATGCCTAATAGGTCTGGAGTTTTAAACTTGCCCTTGTCGGGCTGC